AAAAAAAAAATGTCTCGCCGGTCTCGCGTCAAGTACGTGCGGAGCGATACCGACCGTGATTATACTCTTTACGCGACGCGACGATTAATATTTTTTCTGTCAAGGTAATTGTTTTATTTATTTACATGTAATTATATCCTATTATTATACGACGCGAAGCGAGACCGCACCGTGACTCTTTTACGCGACTAAGTGCATGTGACAGGAATTATAGTAGTTTACATTTACGTGAGTATTACTTCTGTAGTAACTCATACGAACGATATCATCGTAGTTACTATAAAATTTCCCGTTTATGCGGAGGAATTATTGTATCGTTCGTAAGTTACTACAGAATTAAGTAACGCTCGCATAAACGTAGTATTTTATTACTACGGTTATTAGATTACCGGTTTCTTATTTTACATAAAACCTAAAACGCGAGATTTACTTATGTATGCAAGTTTAACGCCTATTGAGTTAATATGAAATAATTTTCCTAAATGTAAAAATAACACGATGTTATATATACGGTTTGGCGTGAATATATAGGTTAGTGACGCGCTTTAAAAGTATTTAAGTGTTTAAAGCGCGTCACTAATCTACATAAGTTAGTTGACGCGCTTTAAAAGTACATACTCTCTATTCTCTACTTTAAATAACTTTCCTTTCAATATATGTCAACAATTCACTGCTTTAAATAATTTTCCTTCGTTCATACATATACTATTTCCACATAAATATCAATTATTTATGTCTATTAGTACTCAAAATAACTGCTATATTTTCCAAACTTTTTTTGTTTATAATTTTTTAACGAATAACGAGCGTGGGCTAAAACCTGAAGGTCACTCAGGAGGGTGACCTTGACAACATACTAAAATATCAAGGTCATCCAAGGTGATCCCCCCCATCTATACAATTAGCCTTTTTTTATGAATAGAGTATCATTAAAGATAGATTGGTGTTGTATTTGGCAATGATCGGTGAAGGGGTTACCAATTTTTGCCTAAAAAGTGTACAAGTCGTAAGGGAGGTTGTTTTGAATTTGGCGAAGATTAGTGAATAGGGTTACCGATTTCTGCCTAAAAAATGTATAGGGTAGACCGAGGCAAATCGGATTACTAATTAGCACGATAAAATAGCTTGTTTAAAATAAAACACTAACGAAAATTGTCTTAAAACTTATATTAATCCGATTCGCCTCAATCTACCCTAAGTTATTTGATGGATAGAGTATCATTAAAGGAAGATTGCTATTTAATTTGGCGAGGATCGGTGAAGGGATTACCGATTTCTACTTAAAAAGTGTATAAGATGTACATGTAATTTTATATAGAGTATTATTAAAAGAAGGTTGTTTTGAATTTTGCGAGGATCGGTGAGAATAAATTGATAGAGGGTCAGCTTAGTAGCACAAGTGGGATTTTACAATCGACGCAATGTCAAATAAATATTAACTTTGGGAGTTCAAGCTACATGGTCCATATATGGACTTCGTATATGGATCTTTGATCGCACATAAAGCTGGATCTAATCAACCAAATCTTAAAAAATTATATATGAAATAGAGGTAGAAAAGACTGAAGAATATAATAGAATTATAAATAGCCCGATATCTCAAAATTGGCAGACATTTCTCAAAAAATTCAAAATTTTATAAAGAAAGAATTCTTTTACCGATCATCGCCAAATTCAATACCAACCTTCCTTTAATAATACTCTATATAAAATTACATGTATAACTTATACACTTTTCAAGCAGAAATCGGTAACCCCTTCACCGATCCTCGCCAAATTCAATAACAATCTTCCTTTAATGATACTCTATATATATATAAGATGACAAATATGGCATGTATAACTTATACACTTTTTAGGCAAAAATCGATAACCCTTTCACCAATTCTCGCCAAATTCAATACCAACCTACCTTTAATAACACTCTATCTATAAAAAATATTAGCTCAATATCTCAAAATTTGCGGAAATCAGAGCAATCACATATAAATTTTTTTAAACAGAAATCAGTAACTTTTTTATTATTAGCAATTTTTTGAATTATATTATATTCCTCAGTTTTTTCTACCCCTATTTTATATACAATACTTTAAGATTTAGTTTATTAGGCAAATCTGAACAGAAAAAGTCATTTAAATACGACTCTTTTAAAGAATTTAAAATTTTAGATATCCCAATTTTTTTCAAATTGGGTTGTAGCACAATGGCACATAGCCTATCTTACTCAGGAAGACATAAGCTATCCACCAGTGTAAAATGTTTTGAAATCGATTCAGTAGTTTATAAAATTACCCCGATAATGGATAGGGTAGACCGGAACACGTTGTCACACATTTTTTTCAATATTTTTTGTATTTTTTACATTCAATATTTAAGAGTACTTTGATATGCCAAAATTTCGAGTGAACCCTCAGCTTTTGGACAGTATCGAATTTTGTGTGATTGTTACTCTACAGTTGTTACATAACAATAAATAACGACAGGTCGCTTGTGACAACGTGCCCCGTGACCGGGGCACGTTGTCGCATCAAATTTAATTGCATGCAAAATGTAATCCAAACTGTATACAACGTAAATATCAATATATTATAGTGCGCTGCAATGTAAAAAAGTAAAATCCTTCACAGAAACATTTATTTTATTTCAGAAAAGTACAAAAAGCACGAAGTTTTCGTCTTAATCTAAATAGGCAAGAATTTCACTTGAATGCGCAACTTATTGATAAACATTTTTTCTTTTATAATCATGTCGGTGATTAAACATAAAATATTTTTATTCGTTATCGTCATCCGAAGATTCGCAATAGATTCCCATCAAATTCGTGACAACGTGCCCCGAGGGCATTTTTTTACTTTAAACAGCCTCATGTCCGACACGTTTGAGATATTCGTGAAATTAGGTACTGCACGCGGTAGGTAAAAGTACATACTTTAAGATAATGTAAAGGTCTATTCTGAAAAAACATAAGCTTCATGTCCAGTACGTTGAATATTAGACAATAAAATTTTACTTACGGTCGCAAAAAACTTTCAAGTTGATTTTACGTCAACACGGCTGGCGCAATCTCAAGACTGTAAACACACCAAAGATGGGCATACACTAACACGTTTTGGGAATGACGGGTGCTGCCCTCCGGTTATTAGTTTTTTAAATAAAGCCAAAGTGACAACGTGCCCCGGTCTACCCTACAAACTTTTTTTTTTATATAATAGGAGAGAGTAGAGAAGTAGAGATTTAATTTTTTAAGAATAAGTTTAATTTTTCATTAATGGATAATTTTTTATTAATGGATCGATTTTCTTGAAACCGATGCCAAAATTCTTCTAATTTATTGTTGATGATTTTGATGAAACTGGTACCAAAAGATTATTAATTTTATGGGGATGGCTACTATGAGGTTAGAAATTGGGGGTTTTTATTGGGTTCTATTGGTGGTTCTCCTAATTAATGGATGAGTTTAGGGAGAGGGGAATAGACTTTAAGCCCGCGCGAAGCACAGGCGAAAAATCTAGTATTAAAAATAATTAAGAAAAAATGCTTTTTTATATTCCTAGATTCCAGTAAAGAAAAAAAAGAAGAAAAGAAATGATCGGTCGACAGATGCGATATATAGAGAGAATTGCGGACGCTATATGTCAAGAAAACAATATAACCCTACCTCCACCACCAGAACCTGACGAAATAGATTCTTTTTTAAGTTTAGTGGGATTTAGATTACGGAAAATGCCACTACAGACTAGATTAGAAATAATGCAAAACATATTAGAATTAACGTATGAAAGAATTATCCAAGAAACATTTATGAATAACATTTTATATAAAAAGCAACATACAATAAGACACTTTTTTTAAGCAATTCAAATTTATATAACGTGCATTACTTAAATATAAGAATATTTTATTTTATATTTTATGGTCACAATGTTTATTATTAAATAATATATTTACATTTAGTAATCTTTAAAATGTTTAAATAAATATTTAAATGTTTCTAAATAAACTAACAATAAGTTTAATAACTAGTTATCAGAGGTTTTATTTTATTCCAATCCAATGTTTACATTTTTTAAATATTTATCACAACAATTATTAATTTTTACATTTTTATTTAGAAAATACAGTAAGTTATAATAAAAAAAAAAAGAAATCATAGAAAATGTTATATAAATCTAATATTTAGAACGTTATAATCATGGATTTTTTAACGCAATGTTTCCTGTACAAAATATTTATAATTAAACATTATTAAATTGCCATGGTATAACTCCTTCAGTATTGAAATAATTGCAAAAGTTCTCACGAATTTCGATTGCGTTTTGTGTACTATTATTATTACCACATGTAGTAATATCTCTTAACGCGCTAATTTCGATGTCTTTTCTCCAAGAACCAGCAACAAACCCATCAGGTCTATCTTGATCAACAAGTGTGTCATCAACATATTGGTTTACTCCGATATCTTGCTTACGAAGAAAGTTGGTGCAAACATACAATAGCTTGTACAATTTTTATGGATTTTTTTACCGTACAAATAATTGGTTGTTTTAAAATTCTCCAACGGCTGACCAAAATACCAAAAGTATTTTCAATCGTTCTTCTGGCTCGACTAAGACGGTAATTAAAAATTGTTCGTTCTTGATTTAAACCGCCTTTTCCAGGATACAACCAAAGTAAGTATTCTGTTAACTGAAATGCTTCATCCCCTACAAGCAAGTATAAGGTAAAGGTTTTACATTTATTGTAAGAGATGCTGGTTTTAGCAAATTTATTTCACGATTGTTGAATTTGTGACCTATTATAGAATCTCTAAAGATTCCACCGTCACTGCGTTCGCCATAACCTCCGATGTCAACAAAGGTTAAAATATAATCTGCATTGCAAATTCCAAGTAATACGATGCTATGGCTATGTTTGTAATTAAAATATGCAGAACCTGCATTATCTGGGCACTAAAAATAAATTTCAAGAATTTATATAATTTATTCTTACATTATACATATATTATTTTTACACCTGAAGAAGAACATTTTTCCATCGATTGCTCCAATACAATGGTTAAAATTCCATTTTGTCTCGAAGTCACCAGCAATGTTTAGCCAATTATCTTCCTTCAAACAAGAAGGAAGTACTTTCTTCTGCAGACAATTCCAAATAGCATCACATGTCTCTTCAATGATATTACTCGCTGTTTAGAATCTATATTATGAAGAGTGTATGAAGTTAGCCTCCCTTTTTTTGAAATTCATATTTTTGAAAGTTGTTCCAGGTTGTTCTGATTTTGTACTACATTGTTCCAAAACGATATTCCTTAATTCTCAACAGTTTTTTAATAAAATAAAAAAAAAACAATTTTTTTTGCTGGTCTCCCTTTTTTCAAAAATCGAAATTTTTTATCGCTACAAATTGTTCTAGTTGTTCCAAACATTGTTCCAAAGTATTAGTTCGATTGGTTAAAAACTTTAAGAGATATTGAAAAAAGAAAAATTTTAAAAATAACAGTTTTTGGCCATTTATTCGTAAACAAAATGACTTACAAAACTGTCGATCTAGAACATATTTCTAACCGCGTAGAACAACTCAGAACAAAAATTTTAAGACTAGAACAAGAACCTAAAGGGTACCTTACTCTTCATCGAAAATATTATTTTTTAATTTTTTTTGTTAAAAATCTTGTTCCAGGCTTCCCGCTTTAAAACTATCGTGTTCTCCACTGGAACAACTCAGAACAAAATTTTTAAGACTAGTACAAGAATCTAAAGAGTACTTTACTCTTCATCGGAAATATTATTTTTTAATTTTCTTCGTTAAAAATCTTGTTCCAGGCTTCCCGCTTTAAAACTATCGTATTCTCCACTAAAACATAAAAATCAATTAATGTTTCAGCGGCAGTTGTCGACGACGTGCGTCAATTATGGATAATTTAACACAAACATATTACGACTGGTACTGCAATTATATAAATTCTGTAAATAATCATAGAAGAAAATTACAGAAAGCAATAACGCTTGTAATGCCTGTAATAATTAAACATTTACAAGAAAAAAAAAACGAAGACCATATAAAAAGAAACGATATTGGGAGTCTCCAATAGTAAAGAGTCGTCGTGTACATGGTAATTATGCTTCGTTATTTCTTTTGCTGCTCACGAATAGAGAATTGTTTACCAATTACTTCAGAATGTCAGCAACACATTTTGAAGTATTGGTACAGTTAGTTGGACCTAGCATTGAAAGAACACGTGAAACCATAGCACGTCGACCTATATCTGTTGGCGAGCGATTGGCTTTGACACTAAGGTACAGCAAATAATTGTAAGATTTTAATTATAATTTAATTTACATGTCAGTTTGCGATGTATTTCTTTTCTTTTCAGATATGTTGTTTCTGGAGACAGTATGGTTTCATTGTCTTACCAATTTCGAATGGGAAAATCTACTGTTTCCAATATAATTTTCGAAATATGTACAGCATTATGGAATAAATTACGAGCATCTGTTTTAGAATTGCCAACAACTGAAGATTGGAAAGGAATTGGAAAAGGATTTGAATCTCAGTGGAATTTTCCTAATTGTATTGGTGCAATCGATGGAAAACACATTCCCATACAGGTAAAAGTTTCGTGACTTAAAAAAAGAAACAAAAACAAAATCTTGTTCTATTTTCTTTTTTAGGCTCCCGCGGGTGCTGCAATGGTTCTGAATATTATAATTACAAAGGATTTCATAGTATAGTGTTATTGGCTCTATATGTGATTATCGTTACGCATTTACGATGTTGGATATTGGAGCTACTGGGCGCCAGAGCGACGGTGGTATTTTCTCATCGAAAATGAGAAAATATTTTGAAGAAGACAGAATGGGAGTGCCAAATCTGGTATCTGTATTGGACAGCGATACTGTTCTTTATTTTGTTGCAGTTGGAGATCAAGCATTTCCCTTGACAACATATTTAATGACACCTTATCCTGAAAATAACAAATTGTCACTTGATCAAAGAATTTTCAACTACCGTTTATCGAGAGCTCGAAGAATTATTGAAAATACATTTGGAATCCTTACTGCAAAATGGAGAATACTTCGAAGAACAATAGACGCAAATATAGAAACAATGTAAGCTATTGTAAAAGCAACGATATGTCTCCATAATTATTTAATAAAAAAGGAAGAGTCGACATATTTTTGCAAGTCAATGGTAGATAGAGAAACAAGAAATGGAGATGTAATTCCAAGTATTTGGCAAAATGATACATCTGAAAATAATTTATTTCAAAATTTAAATCAACCAAATCAAGCAGTATTAAGTCGAGAAGCTTTACAAGTACGAAGAAAGTTCACAGAGTTTTTCGCCAATGAAGGAGCAGTACCTTGGCAATTTCACCAAATTTATCATTAATAATGCAATTGACTAAATTAAAGAAAATATATTTTTTCACACACATTTTTTTATTTTCAAAAAAACAATTTTTATTTGTTAGAAATTTGTAATAACATTTTGTTGGAAATAAAATAAAATAAATAAACATGTATTGAAATATAATAAACTGCGTACACTGCGTGTCAATGATTCTTTTCCTGAGGTAATGGGGGAACATATAGAAATTCTAGTAATAGACTAAAGGTGCCTTTTCATGCTGACGCTCGACGCTCATTTTCAGCGGCAAGAAGGTCGCATGACCACAATTGACGTCGGCGTCAATTGAAATTCGTGAAAAGGAAAACAGCGTCAAAATTTCGGCGTCTTCGCGCTGCTTTGGCTTTGACGCTTAAAGCTGAGAAAATCCAGCTTTCTTTGCTTGACGCTAGCGTCAGATCGAAATCACGTGATCTCGCGATACGCTGAAACGAGCGTCCCATGAATTCGCACCTTAATAGAAATAACCATAATAGCGTCTCTAGATTTCTGTGTTCCCCCCTTACCACGGAAAAGGAATCATTGACGCGAAGACCGCGCAGTATACATAAATTCTTTTTAATATTTTTGTGCGATTATTTTTTTGCTTTATGTACAGTTTCGTGGATACTGAAGAGCACATTGTCGAGATCAGCATCGGGTATATTCAGCATCAAGGACTCCATTAATTGTAGAAAATCTCGAATTTTCTTTTCTTTCAAAGTCAATTTTGACTGCGTAGTGTTTTGTGGTAAAGGAGCGGGGAATGGAGGTGGAATTATTGATGGTGCCTTTGCCAATTTGTTTAGAGCTGACGTTTTTTTTTTTGCGATGCCGTTATTGTTTTTGTTGGTTCTTCCTCTTCTAATTTTTTCATTACTTCTATTTTTTTCCTCTTCCTCAGGGAAATTATCAATAGTCCTGAAATAGATAATAATCTATAAGATATATAAAAATTATTTTTTATAGATTTGAATTACTACTTTTGTTTAGTTTGTATTTCTTGAAGAAATGTCATATTTTCGAAATATGGCCACGATTCGGGAGCAGCGGCAGCAGATCCAGTTGTTTTTGGACGTGAAGCTACTTTTCTCCAAAAAATAATCGACCAAACTTTTCCATTTTGATTGAACCACAATTGGATTAAAGAAAGAAGAGATATCGGGAAATGTATCTAAAATATTTAAAATTATTAAAGAATTAAGACGAGTTTGTATATTGTGAGAGCACATTTCAGTTTAGTTTAGAAAATTGTTTAATTTCTAATAAATTTTTAGGTCTTACCTTTCAAGTCTTCCACGATAAAGTTCCATGCAATACTTATTTTAAATTTTGACCTTTCTTTCATAGGAATGCAGTAATTCCATATAATTTCATTATTTTTTACTAATTGAATTAGATGTGCGATACTTTCAAACGTCCAGATTAGGGTGGCTCTTATTTACTCTTGGTAAATTTTTTGGGGGAATTTTTTTGCGCTACCCTCTAATTTGGTTCCATTTTATGAAAAAAAAATCTGTGTCAAATTTCAGCTCAATCGGATAAAGGGAAAGGGTGTCCCCAGGATCTTGAAAATCGAAAAAATCATAAAATCACAAAAAAAATCAATTTTATTTGTTTATCTTGCAAAATATTAATTATATGCAAAAAGTATCATACAAAAGTTGTAGATTTATTAAAAATGCACATATTATCATCTACCACTTTTTCTCGTACGACTAACTATTTCCGAGAAAAATGTGAAAATCACTTCTTTTTACTACAAATCTTGACGCTGAGCGGCTGAGGTAAAGTCTCTTTTTTATAACCTGGAAACTTTCGGCGATAATCACTTACAATCTGAAGCACATACTGTTTCTGTTGCTCATTTTTCGTAAATAATTTAATATTATAATTTTCCATAAGCTTGACCCCTCTCTCAGCCGAATCATTTACAACTCTCAATTTATTTACTAATTCCAGACCTTTTACAAAACTTTCATTTTTATGCCACGTCAACGGTTCTGTCTTAAGGAATTCATCATTTAAGTCAAATCTTTTGAAAAATCTTCTAGTTTCGGTGAAAACAAATTGTTCAATTCCGTTGTTAACAATTTCTGGGATTTTATCGATTTGTACTTTTATTCGCTTCTTATTTTTGTTTGATGATTCTGTTTCGCGATTCAAAGTATTGACAGAGAGAAACCTGAGAGAGGCCACCCCGGCATTTTTCGTCAATTTTTCTGTGTCGCATTTTCCGACGCGCCGCCTGAGAAAGTGCAACTCAACTACGTCGTTTCGCTCGGTAACCGCACATGGTTTGCGTCCGTGCTAATGGTTCGTGTCCGAACTAGCCAGTTAGAGGGGATATGCTGCGGCCGTGGCGCACAGTGAAGTCGTTTGCGCGAATCGCGGAAAAAATTATGTTACTTGTGAAATATGTGCAATGAATGATCATAGAACCTTTCAATGTTGACTTATAAAAATTGCAAAAGTGTATATTTATTAAAAATTAATGATAGGAACAAGTATTTGATTGAAATTAAATAAAAATTCAATTTACATTTAATTTACGTATAAGAGCAAAGTAATTCTTGCGTCTCATCGCTTAAGTCTAAATTTTTTTGATGTGGTTTACTTCTTAAACTAGTTATTAACGGATCGGATGACACGAGCATCATATGCATAACATCTTTATTTGTAAACAGACGGCTACATTTTCTACTATGATTAAGTCGATATCGTTTATAGTCCTTATTTCTTGCCTCTTGAGCTTTTTTCGATAATGTCCCAACAGGTAACGCTGCATTTTCCGAAGCATTTTCTATAATTTCCTTACCGTGAAGAAGAATTTTATGAACGGTAATTGGCATAAAGTACCAAGAATATTTTTCAATAAATATTTCCGCTGCCTTGTACGCATAAGAACCAAATTTTTCTGAATTTATTTCTTCACCACAATTAATCGTTTGTAATAT